TCTTGGGCTGCTGCTCTCATCTCAAGGCTGTTTATTTTCAGTTGTGGGGAGAAGTTCTGTGTAGGGAATGGCAGATGATTTCTCATACCACAGGCTGTATTTTCCTCTGTCTTTTTCTTGCACTGAGCATTGAAACAAAGGTGTCCTTTCTCAGCAGCACTGGTGATGAACGTGCCCGAGGGAACTGGGGATGTTTAGATCAGGTAGCAGCTCTGCAGTGGGTTCAGGAAAATACCACGAGCACACCTGGAGCTGCCTCCCCTGGGGAACCCCGGGCACCCGACCCTGCTGCACAGAAATGGAGCTGGAATAGCAAATAGTTCTTCATTTCTTTTTGTGTTCAGTCATTCATCTTATTTGCCCTTTTTGCAAACAGCAAAATCAAGATCTTGTGCTGAGGCAGAGCAGGCCACGGTACCACATCTGTACCTTGGGACTGAGAACTTTCACACCGATCTGAAAGGGAATCTTATTTAAATGCTAACAGTATTTGTACATGCCAGACTATTTTTAGAAGCTTTTTCTTTTGGCTTTATGTACTATCTAGGGTCTGGAATATATTTAGTCTGTTCATTGCCTTTTCTGAGTGAGAGCAATCTATTGGGCTTTTATCTAACCACCCAGACCAAAAGAGGTTAAGATTGGTGTGCAATCACTGATGTGAGTGGTAAGACAATACATATGATATACCTGGGGGAAACTATACCCACAGACTAATCAACATGAAGGCTGAAAGAATGTCAGCTAGACTGATTTAATAAAGGTGTGAGAAAAGTGTATTAGAATAAATTAGAAAATCTAAAATTTTGATTAGTAAATGCTAGTAATCAAATTAGTAATATAAAATAGTAAGTTAGTGTACTGTTAGAACTGATTAGAGTTTGTTGAAGCCCTATGTATGAAAATTATTAAGCAAACAACAGGGGTATATTTAAGTAGCAAATCCAGCAATTAGAAATCTGGTAAGTACTTACAAATGGACCAATTGTGATTTTGTGCTCACATCCTCCAGGACAAAAAGCAGAGCAACCAGAAGTGGAGACCAAATATGGGAGAGCCCGAGGATTCCAATTCAAAGTAGACACAGCTGAGAGGAGTGTAAATGTCTTTTTGGGACTTCCTTTTGCTAAACCTCCACTTGGATCCCTGAGGTTTTCTGAGCCCCAGCCACCTGAGCCATGGAAAGGTGTCAGAGATGCCACTTCCTACCCACCAATGTAAGGCAGTGACAAAACCACTGAATATTTAAGTAATTTTATATTTATATATTATTTCTACATTATATGATAATTTATATACTATTATTTTATATATATTAATATAATTTATATAATTTGTTATTGTACATTCTATTATATTAATATTATTTGTATTTTTCTATTTTAATTACTTTCTACAACTATAATATTAATTTATATTATATTATATAAATAAATATTCTCTGTTTATTTATTGTATTATTGTATGTTCTATCATTTATATTGTTTGTATTTACATTATTTTAATAGTTTGTATAATTGTATATTATATTTATATTTATATTAGAAACAATTTCATGACACTGCTGCACATCCAGGGCAATCAAAATCCACAAAGATAAATTCCTTGGTGCCATCTTGTTACATCTGCAGCTGTTACAGTGAATACATTTCTAAAGACATCTTTATTAGCTGCTCTCTTTACTGCTATTTAATGGGCATCAGGGATGAACTGATATGGATCAGCACTTTACTGATAATCCTCTGTCTTGGGAGCATTTGGCCATCACTTCCCAGTGTTTATAAACCTTTGGAATACATATTAAGGAAAAAATGCTGAGTCACATGGTTAATAGGGCACATAAGAAATACAGGGCAATTCTAGTCTACCTTGTAAATGTTTTATCCATTTGTCCTCTTGCCCTTGTTTAGTGCTCCAAGTCTAATACCTCCCATTACAATATAAAAAGCTCTTGGAGATGTAAAATAATTAATTTACATTTCCATTGAAGGCATTTATAGCCCTATGTGTTTGCAGATATATTTCTGTGATATTTTGAAACATGCAGGATTTATCTGCATGTCCCTGTGTATTGCAGTAGGCAGTGGCTCCTTTTTACACATCTCATTAATGAGAGGTCAAAGAAGGAAAACATCTTAACAGTATTTGTTGCTTGTTATTTTTTCAGGTGTGTGCAGGATCCAGTCCAAGGACAATATTTTTCAGACATGATTACTAATAGAAAGGAGAAGGTTCCTCTTCAGGTGTCTGAAGATTGCTTGTACCTAAATGTGTACACCCCCGTTTCTGCAGGAGAACAGCAGAAGTTGCCTGTAAGCAAAACCACTATAAAACCTCTAGGAAATTTATTTTATGCTTGATTTCCTCTAAATAATCTGTCCAAAGTCACAGGGCACTGATAAAGTGTAAGTATTTAACAAAATCAATGCCATTTTGTAGACTTGTAGATCCGAGTGATTTCTACCATTTTTGAAATGTAATCTGAAAGAATCAGGACTGAAACAACAAAAGATATTTTATTTTGGGTTATATTTAGTTTTTATCACTGGGAGCTCAGGTCTGTGCTGGGTTGATTCTGGTTTTATCTTTCCAGGTCTTTGTATGGATACATGGAGGTGGATTAGTTTCTGGAGCAGCTTCAACATATGATGGTTCAGCATTAGCAGCCTTTGAAAATGTGGTGGTTGTAGCAATTCAGTACAGATTAGGTGTTCTTGGATATCTTAGGTAAGATGTTTTATCCCATTTTTTGCCAGGTGATTTCCAAAGTGATGTGTGCAAAGCCTTGGTGAAGTGCAAGAGACTCCTTTGTGCAAAGAA